TATTTAAAATAAAAAACAAAATAATTTCCAAAAACTTTTAAATATTAAATAAGAAATAGATCAAAAGAAGTTATTTAAAATAATAAATACTAAATAAGTTTTTAATTTTTTTCTTTATTTAAAATAAGACCGAGCTCTGCTTATCATATTAGTTGATGATAAATTTTTATAACATTATCTCATATGTCTGTAAAGATGACTTTTTGATTATGATTATATTATGTACGTAGGGAATAAGGCTTATTTTGTTTTAGCTGAACTTTTATTTCCAGTTTATCTTTTCTATTTTTTTTCCAAAATAAAAAGAAAAAGAGGAAAGATGGAACATGCAAAAAGTTTCAACTAAAAATAATACACTGTATGTACGTGTACACACACACACACACACACACACACGCACACACACACACGCACGCACGCACGCACACACACACACACTGTCTTGTACTTGTTACAAATTAATCTATTTTTATTTTTGATGATTTTGACAGCTATATGTGTATGTGTATCAGTAATAGTGTTTTATAATACTTAAAAATTTCAGGCGAAAGAAATTTTAGCTAAGGAATCCAATGTACAAGAAGTAAAATGTCCTGTAACAGTATGCGGAGATGTACATGGACAGTTCCACGATTTGATGGAATTGTTCAGAATAGGTGGCAAATCGCCTGATACAAATTACCTTTTTATGGGCGATTATGTTGATCGTGGCTATTATTCAGTCGAGACTGTCACTTTGCTTGTAGCTCTTAAGGTATAATATATAGTTTACAATTATTATAATTTTATTAAATTGTCATGCTTTATTAAATACTTAATGTATTCTATTCAATTGTACAGCACATATATGTACGTTAATTTCTTTCGAAAAAATAAGACTTTTATTTATTTTTTCTTCCTCGGATTTGTTTTGTACAATTAAAGGTAAGATATCGAGAAAGAATAACCATTTTGCGAGGAAATCACGAATCAAGACAAATCACACAGGTGTATGGATTTTATGATGAATGCTTACGTAAATATGGAAATGCCAATGTATGGAAATTCTTTACGGACTTATTCGATTATTTACCATTAACGGCATTGGTAGATGGCCAAATATTTTGTTTGCATGGTGGTCTGTCACCATCAATTGACACTTTAGATCATATACGTGCTCTAGATCGTCTTCAGGAAGTACCACATGAAGTTAGTATCAGCATTTGTAATGTTTATAATAATAATTGTAATAATGGAACTTAATTTAGAGTTGTAATTGTGTGTGTGTGTGTGTGTGTGTGTGTGTGTGTGTGTGTCTATTATTTAACAGGGTCCTATGTGCGATCTGCTTTGGTCAGATCCAGATGATAGAGGAGGATGGGGTATTTCACCCCGTGGAGCAGGATATACTTTTGGTCAAGATATTTCTGAAACGTTTAATCACTCCAATGGACTAACACTCGTTTCACGGGCTCATCAATTGGTTATGGAAGGTTACAATTGGTATGATTTGATTCATTAAATTAAAATAAATATTTTTTCTTCTACATATACAACCAAGGATATTTTATAGGATATATTTTAAGAAGTTTCTATTATATATATAATACTGCTTATAATGTGTATTATCTCTTCTTTCAGGTGTCATGATCGCAATGTCGTAACTATATTCTCAGCACCTAATTACTGTTATCGTTGTGGTAATCAAGCTGCAATTATGGAACTGGATGATGCTTTAAAATATTCATTGTGAGTATGATTTTAATACTTTTATAATTGTAATGTAATGTTTACTTGCAAATTATTCTATTGATTTATTAATCTAAATAATATGGAAGTTATAGTTTAGGTTCTAACGAATTAAATTATCCGAGTAATCAGTCAATAAGAGCTGACACAGATTATTAATATGTATGTGTTTATTCAAATATAATATAAAATTGACTGCGTAAACGTTTTGATTTTTCGTTTAGGATCCTTTTCAATGCTATTCTCTCATCTATACTATATCTCATAACGCTTACAACGCGAGTATCAACAATATTAAAATGAAAACCTATGTTACATTAAAAGTCGCTTTTACATATAAAATTTGTTATAATAAATTAATGATCAAGTTGTGACACGTTTCTTCGTCCAACATAGTTCATTAAATTGACAGATTTACTAACTGCAATTGATTACATGATAATATCACATGATATATATATAAATGTAAAATACATGTTATATTTAAAACTTACTATGTCAGAAACTTACTATGTTACGCTAAAGCTAAGCTATATTAGAACGCTATGGAGAGAAGTTGTCCGTTCGACATGTGAATCTCGTGTGAAAGTATGATAAACAATCGATATTTATCATGCGAATTGTTGTGGAGAGAGAAAAAGTCTCAATATATCTGAATATACCGAATCCAACAATTATTTTTTTTTTAAGTTTAAAAACCTTTTTTTTTGCTTTTTATGTGGATCATGTCAGATATAAGACTTTGTAGAATTCTCTTATTATCTAGAACACATAGATTCCCAACGTAGCGTTATCATCCCCCGGTAGGCGCTGAGAAGATTTGGCAGTTCTAAGAGCAGTAGAAGGGCAAGCAAGGATAAAAGAACGCGCCAGAAATTTAATCCCCTAAATTTTTTTTAAATAAACATTTAATTCTTAAACATTCCAGCATTATAGGTTATGACAAAAAATTTTTTATTACATATGTCCTAATTAGTTGAAACGTGGATTTAGTGGTTACAAATCTTTTGACGAAAAAGAGGAATCAACTGCAAATGAGCGCGGAGATTTAAGAATGCTGCTAACAAAAATGGAATCAAATATAAACAGATTGCTAGCGTCACATCAAACCCAAACTTCTAATTAATGATAATTTTTAAATATTTATAAATTTATATTATACTTATAATTTTTTAATATTTTTTATTTGATTCTGTATAATTTTCGTTTTGTTGCTTTATTTAGAATTCAGAGAAAATTTATTACGGTTACGATCAAGGGGATACTGAACAAAAAGTATTTTGAAGGGGGCGGTGAGCTAAAAAAGGTTAGGAAACTATGATCTGAACTAGAACCTTTATCACTTCTCAATCAGAATCATTGATTCTAGTTTGTGCTCCGTTATAACAGAATGTTGTTGAGTGTTCAAATTTATGTAATTCTTATGCTCGTTTATTCATGTTTTTAGCTGCTTGTTTAGTCTACATGACTCATCTCAATTTTTACATTTAATTTTGTATACAACATTTGTATGTGATCATATTGGTAGTTTGTCTTTTAGTACTTGAATAAATTTACTTATTGATTCCCGAATATATTACGCATATAGTTTTATTATTCCTAAAAGATTGCTTTTTTTCGATACGCTTAAGATAATGTTAATTTTTTTTCACTTTATTTGAATGCTAAAAGACAAACTACCAATAGGATCACATATTGGTAATTTGTCTTTTAACACTCGAAATCAAATGTTGTATACAAAATTATGTAAAGCGTCATGTGGGCTAAACGAACAGAATGTTAAAAATATGGATAAACGAGCATAAGAATCATAAATTGGAATACTCAACAACATTCTGTTATAACAGAGAGACTGGAATCAATATATGATTTTGATTGAGAAGAGGTAAAGGTTTTGGATGAGGAGAGAATTCTACAAAGACGTCTTATATCTATGATTCATATAAAACAGTAAAAAATGAGTTAAATTTAGAAAAATGATTACTGATTTGTTGGATTTGATATACTCAGATGTATTATCTATAGTGTGAGACTTTCTCTCTCTCTACAACAATTGTATCGCGTGATAAATATCGATTGTTTATCATACTCTCACATGAGATTCACGTATCGTCAGATATCATCGAACTTCTCTCAACGGCGCACAGTGGGTCAAGAGACACCAAAAACTGATCAAAAATGGCCAACAGTCATCAGCAGCATTCAATTTAGAAAAGTTATTAATGTTATCCAAAGAAATAAATATACATTTATGCAAAATTTTAAAATAATGCGATTATTAATTTTGTGTCTATATATTTTCTAATTTAGAAAGTTGATTACAATTGTCGATTAATCGTTTTGACGTAAATAGTATTCCTTGTGTAATATTTATTTGTTTTGAATGTTATTTCAAATAATGTTAATTAAAATTTGCATGAAATATGATTTCTAAATCATTATCCGCAAGAAAAGTCGATTTGTTTTTAGAAATAAGATTTAAAGCATGCTCTTTTGCAGTATTATGACATTAAATTATCAATCAAAATCTCTTCGAACCTCTACTGCGAAATTCGATTTTTATAAATATTGTACCTCTATGTCGACTTCTTAGTCGACTTTCATATGTACTGTCACTAGTTGTCCCTTTTGATCCCAAGAAATAAAACAATTAAATTTTACCTCTCCGCAGGATGTAAATTCTTTGAAAATTCATAACGTTGACAATAGACAACAAAAAAATAAATCCTTATGTAATAATAATTATTTGGATTTAATGTTAATAAACATTGAAAAAAAAATATTCAGTAAAGAATGTTTTCAAATTTATAATTTTTAAAATTATTAAAATTAATATTGTACTATAAGAATTCTTAGCATACATTTATATTAAATCTCTCAAATAATTCATGTTTCTTTAAATAATCATTACTAATAATAATAGGACTTATAACAGATTCATATGCAATAATTATTAACAATCATATAAAAATAATATTTCATAAAATTACAAAAAATAAAAATTACTATATTTTAAATTGTGTGTGCGTGCATGCGTGTGTATATTTAATAATTATTTTATTATGCATTTATTATATAAGTTGTTTATTAATTAATAATTTACATCATTAAAAAAAATAATTTTACTTTTTTAACTAACTTGCTTGACACTTAATATGTATATGTAAATGTATAAAAGCGTCAATTTTAATAAGTAAGTATATTTAAGATACGAGGTTTGACATTTTTTTAACATTCTATTCCGTCATTTTAGATCTGCCATTTTGAATTTTTAAATTTTGAGTTTAGATTCGAAATCAACAATCATAAAAGACATTAAGTACTGAATTTGATAGCAATTGAAACATTTTTACCATTTTCTTGCGCCATATTGGATCCATTATTTTGAATTTCTAATTTTTAAGTTTGAACTCGATATCAGGGACCTTAAAAACTCCTGAATATTCAATTTAACAATTAGAGCACTTTTAGTACTTTTGGTTACTTTTTTTGATCTTCTGGCCCACCTTGCGGCATTCTAACATAACTTAGCATGTTTTGTAAGTTTTGAATTTAATATGTATTTTACATTTATATCATGTAATCGATTACATTTAGTAAATTTGTCAATTTGAGGAACTATGTTGGACAAAGGAACGTCACATCTTGACACACCATTAATTTATTATAACGAATTTTTATGTAAAAGCGATTTTTGATGTAATAACAGGTTTTTATTTTAATATTTTGGACACTCATGTTGTAAGCGTTATGAGATATAGCATTGAAGAGGATCCTAAACGAAGAATCGAAAACGTTTGTGTAATCAATTTTATATTATATTCGAATAAATTCATACACACTATAAATAAATTCATACACACTATAAATTCATATACCAATAATCTGTGTCGGCATGATCACTGGGATCTATTAAATGCATATTGAACGTATGTTGGTACATTAAAATTTTTTTAAACAAATGTAAATGATAAAGTTTTTAAATGTAGGTTAAGGTGATAATAATTTCAAACATGGTATAATTCTGAACAAAATAAAATTTGAATTCAATTTTTGAGGTTAACTTCGGTAACTCTCATTGCGTATAGAATAAAAACAGAAACAATCAAATTGAAACTTTGAAAATTGGATCCTATTAGGTGTACAACTTTGCTTCCGTTTTCCTATAGATGGCTTTAGCGGTAAGTGGTGATCGAAATAAATAGATCATAGACGTCATACAATAAACTTGGGCATCTGTCAACATAACTCCATAGAAACATTAGTCGATTTGTGTCTGCATCATAAAGTTATTCTCGATTGAAAATGTCAGTTTACGAGCCAAATTCTCGTCATTTGCGGGAGGTTTTAATTTTTTGCTTCAATATGAAGAAATCTGCGGCTGAGGCTCATCGAATGCTCTCAAATACTTATGGTGAGGCTGCTATTAGTGAAAGAACGTGTCGTGAGTGGTTTCAACGCTTCAAGAACGGTGATTTTGACGTCCAAGGCTCTGTATTTGGTGGGACCAGCTCGGCGTAGTGTATTATGTGTGAACTGTTAAAACCGACTGAAACAATCACAGGCGATCGGTATCGAACGCAATTGATGTGTTTGAGCCGAGCATTGAAAGACAAACGGCCGCAATACAACGAGAGACACGATAAAGTGATTTTGCAGCATGACAATGTTCGACCCCATGTTGCGGAAGTGGTCAAGACACTTGGAAACGTTGAAATGGGAAGTCCTACCCTACCCGCCGTATTCTCCAGACGTTGCTCCCTCTATCACTTGTTTCGATCAATGGCACACGGCCTGGCTGACCAGCACTTCCGGTCTTATGAAGAAGTAAAAAATTGGATCGATTCGTGGATAGCCTCAAAAGATGACCAGTTTTTTCGACGCGGGATTCGTACGCTACTCGAAAGATGGGAGAAAGTAGTGGCCAGCGAAAGTAGTGGACAATACTTTGAATCATAAATGTATAACCAGTTTTTTACAATAAAGCCTCGAATTTCGGAAAAAAAGGCGGAAACAGTTGTATACCTAATATTTTATTTTGTTCAGAATTATATCATGTTCAAAATTGGACCGTCTCATAATCATAAATGTATGCTACATTATATTTCCTTTATTGTTAAAAGATTTTACTGATATAAAGATGTTTATTGTTTAAAGATATTAAAAAATGATGCAACTTTACTAGTACAGGTATTAATTTTCTTTTGATTTTTTTGTTACAGCCTACAATTTGACCCAGCACCAAGACGTGGAGAACCACATGTTACCAGGCGAACGCCAGACTACTTCCTCTAAAGAACTAAACTTCAAGATTAAGTGTCAAGGTAGGAGAATGGAAACGCGACTTTATAGTGAGGCCAGACAGCATAACTTTCAATAAAACATCGCTAAATGAATGTGAGGCTCCGACATGTTTTCACACATACCACATATAGCCTCAAGTATTATATCATGGCTCACTTTGTGGTGTCTCATTGAGAGATAGAATAGATTACACGCACGTTTTGTGCGTGCCTTACATGATACATGTAGACATAACATTACTTGTACACTGAAAAGGAAAAAATAATACAATAATGTACACACGTATCGATTAAATTCATTTGTAGCATTGAGTTTTATTATATCCGCTTGTATTTTTATTATAAAAGAAACTGAATTTATAATAATGTACACATTTGCGCGCAATAGATAGAACAAAAATAACGATAAAATGGTATTATTTTATGGTATTATTAGGTGTAGTAAAAAGAAATCCATTATTTTTCCATTCAATTTCTTGCAAAAATAATGGATTTCTTTTTACTACACCTAATATTTTGTAATCTTGAATGAGAATATTATAAAATTCGTTAAGAAACATTTATTAACGAGGCAACATGTGTTTTAAACGACAGTTCGTTCTAACGAAGTTGATTGTCATACAAGATTTCAAGAAAATGTACCAAAATGGTTATAATTTATATTTAAGAAATTATCACGTTCTTATTGGTGTGAATGGAGCATGAGATGTTCCACTTGAAGAAAATGCAAAATGAGTTGATGCAACAGTAAATTGGCATGCATAAATTATGCCATATAAAGATTCAATAAATATAATTTTCAAGTATAAAGTTCATCAAAAGATTTCATATGACATTACACATACAAATTCATCAGAATCATGATGAGCAGTCATTTCGTCAGAATTACAATTGTTTCTACACAATATTTATTTTTAAGCAAATGAAGTAGACATTTTTATTTAAATAATATAGAACTCTTCAAAAGGTAAATATAAATTTCGTTCTTGATGTAGCTTTTTATCTATTTTAGTTCCGAACGGATCCAGCATATTTGAAATATAGGATTCACACTATGACATCGTATGACGGATGTCGTACGTAGTGTGAATCCTACATTTTAAGTACGCTGGATTCGTTCGGAGTGACTCCGAAAGACAAAACGAACAATACTAATGTATCCGTAACATTATTTTTGCAAAATAATATACGTTTATATAAAAAAAAAAGAAAAGAATGATGTCTACATCTGTATTTGAAATGTTTTTACTTTATTTAGGCAAAATGATATTTAATACTGTATATAAAATTGAGTTGCTTAGATTTATTTTTATATTATAAATTTGTTTTGTAATTTTAGACTGCAATATAAAATTGAGCTACATTGATTAATGATCGTAAAAAAGATACGATACTTTTGCATCAATTCTATCTGCCTTCTAAAGTGAAACACATACTTTATATCGAGTGAATCTATGCATTCATCATGATTAAATTAAAAAAAAAATTGTTTGCTTGTAAACTGATCTTTTTACTTATTAATGGATATAAAATATGCTTCTGATAAATAAACATGTGTAATGCAAGCCAAAGCAAAACCCAATGTCATTTTATATTTTATGTTAAATACAGGAACAATTTGTGTACAATGAACAGTTAAAAAGAAACATATGAAGATATATTTATAAAAAGTAAGCATTACAATTCGAATATAATGCATAATGAAACAAATATAATAGCGATGACGAAGGATGACAAGGCGATCGTGAAATGTGTTAGATGCACATTATAGCAATTAACTAAGACTGTAAAATCCATATACAGTATAGAATGCAGCGCGGAGTTAACGTGAGCCTTCTGCACAATGCAGGCTGAGCATTTTTTCTTTTTTTTTTCCGTTTTTTATTACACAATATAAATATACATAATATTCTTTAGACTACAATAATAAATTTTCCTATAGAATAAAAAATGCACTTGTATTATATATATGATGCGATGGAATTTGAAGGTATATTTGAAGAAATAATAGACATAGCAATTATTATAACTAATTTTATATCTGCTCTATTTATTGCCCTCTTATTGCATACCGACTTTCATACAACGGAAATTAATATAAAATTGAAACACTACTGCGCGCGCGCGCGGTGTGTGTGTGTGTGTGTGTGTGTGTGTGTGTGTGTGTGTGTGTGTGTGTGTATGTATGTACATACAGTACCCTCCATAAGTTTGGGAACATCCTGTTTTACATGAAAGCCATTATATGATACGATCTATACATTTTTGTTTTAAACACTTTATAAGACGTCTAAATGACGATAACTATTTAATGAGATTTCAAGATTATGAAGCGCATTTTAATTAAAATTCCATATTTTAATAGCATGTTATTAAATCTTTAATTGAAAAAAGACGAAATAAAAGTACATATATATATGTACGTTATCTATAATACAGATAACATATATATGTTTTATTTCGTCTTTTTTTCAATTATTTACAAATAATTATTTACAAATCTATAAAACGTAGGGTATTCTCAAACTTGTGAAGGATACTGTATATGTGTGTGCGTGTGTGCGCGCACACATATATATTATTATATGTACGGGCAATATGATTAATATAAGAACATTATATATAATGGCCGGCCAATATAGATAATGTCCGCTTGTTTTGGACAATGTGAATAATGTAAGTAAAAATGTTCAAATTAATAAAATTGACCGGTCATTATGAATAATGCCCCTGGACTAGTGGGAAATGTGATTAATAGATTGAAAGTCTAAAAATATCATTTAAAAAAATAGAGGCAAATGTTTATCTTTACCCCGCCCAAATGATTTTTCAGCGATCTCGATATTAATCTTGATTTTCAAAGAAGTCAAGATTATTGATTTTTTCCATCGCTTGTCATTAAAAAGTTGTGAACAGAACAATTTTTATCATTTCAGATAATGCGCTCCTAGGCGTGAGGGGAGGAGGTGGAGTAGGAGTTGCTTCAGGTGAAAGTCATAGTGGAAGAGATAAACATGATATGTGCAGTTGGACAATGTTTCTTTCTAATCTCTGCTATCTATGGACTGTTCGCAGTGTGAGTAGCTACCCGTTTAAAAACTGACTCAGTACAGTTTTCTAACTGTTAAACGGTAAACATGGGACGGTAATCATAATTCCATTCGTTTTATTTTAAAATTGTCTTAAATAATCTTAAGATGTCATAAGTCAATCTGAGGACTGTATTAGCATCTTAAGATATTATTTAAGATAGTTTTAAAATAAAAATGGATTATGAATACCGCCCGTTTCACTGTTGGTAGTCCATGCATAGCACACTATAGACGACGAGTAAAAGTAGGTATGGTTTGACCGAACTGCACACCATGTAATACTTCCACCATGATGAAAGTCGATCCTCCATGCAGGAAAGGAGGGATAGGAGCAAAGTTTTATATATATATATATATCTATACATACTCATAGGAGTTTGATTAAACTTTATACTCCC